CAGCAAAAGTGGAGGTAAGAGGTTAATTAAACAATATCTTCAAATTGCTAAGACCAAGTAACTCTGGACCTAGAATTTTATACCCAGCCAAACTATATTAAAAAAAAAAATACCCCTGAGAATAAGATAAGTTTTCACATATAAAAACTTCCCAAATTTTACCATGTATGGGTCCTTATAGAATGAATTACAGAATAGAAATCACAGAGTTAAGTGAATTATATATTATAGAAATTATAAAATAAAAATGTAAAAGGAAATGAATCCAGAAAGAAATCGTGTAAATCATAAAGCAGGAGTGAACAGAGTCGTTAGTGAAAGCTATTGTTAAATGTAAATAGCATTAATTTAAAAAATTAAATATCAAGATCAAACTAAGATTCCAAACATCAATATAGGATGTTAGGATATATGAGAGAATAATACAAAAATGGTACAAATAATTTTATATCCTTGGAGGGAGAACATAGCTATTGATTTGCTAATTTAGGGTAACAATCATGAATGGATAAGATGATTTATTGAAAGATAAATACTAGCTGGTAATACTGATGATTCAATGAAAGCATGTATGATAATGGAGGTATCAGACAAAATATAATTGAAGGTAAAAAACATTCTGAAGAATCAAGGGAAGTGTATCAGTCAAGATTCTGGTGTGAAACATTCAAATGGTTCATTAAGGAACATTTAATGTTTAATGAATGCACTATTTTCAGCAGCCTGGGAGGAGGTAAGGAAACCAAGAAGGGATGGTAAAGTGCCCAGGACTATGGACAGTGGGGAGTCCTTGCCATTTCTGGGTCTTGAAAGGGCAAGGAAGAGGCAATGACATGAGTATCCACAGGGAGCCTGGGCTCTGAGGGAGAGCTGCCTGACATGAGCTGTGGCATTTTGTGCAGGATATAAAGAGTTTTGATAGGACATGTAAACAGCTTACTTTTATATAAGTTTTTGTATGCATGCTAGCCCTGTGATGTTGCAACTAGAAGCATAGAAATTAGAGCAGTTCTACCCCATTACCAGTGATGTGGCCTCCTCTGCAAATGGGGAAACCGCTAGAGCCAGACCCCCAGTGTTAGCACCATTCCTAACAGAGTACACTTGGGCTATGCCCAGCTCTCCTCCTCAGTCATGGGTATGATGAGTATAGGTAGTGACTGCTTCTGATCACTTGGGATGATCATTTGTGTCCTATGTACAGTTTGCCATGTTTATTTTGGGTCTTCTCATGACCTTCTGGAATTTATATTAACCCCATAAGAAAATGCAACCTCACATTTTAAACAATTGGATTTTCTGGATCCTGATGGTTGTACTATGGTGGGTCTTGCAGGGTGACGTGAAGATTAAGAGTGTTAAAAAAAAAAAAAACACAAGATTCAAACGAGTAAATCTGAAGGTCTAATTGGCTTTATTAAATGATTCCTGAATTGAGTAGTATCCCATCTAGCAAGTAGAGGGGAGCTCTGAGGAGCTACAGGAAGGGGAAGTTTTTTAAAGGTAGAACAAGGAAGTCATAAACAGAAAAAGGGATTACTTCAGGGGAAGGCAACATCAGTTGTGAACAAAAGGGTTTTCCTAGGTGGGCTACCTCATCTTCCTTTGGGGGATGAAGAGGACCCAAGTGACAGCTTACCTTTTTTGGTCCTGACTAGAAAATTCCTGGCTGACTAGTTAAAGATTACATTCCTAGGGGGTTGAAACTGCAGTTAGGTTAGGTTTTAAGTCTGAGTTTGCTGGCTTAGCCTAAGTGATGCTATTTTGGGGCCATGGTTTTCTTTTAACAATAGTTAATACACATGAAGTGCTTAGAACAGAACCTGTGAGTGAGCTTTCATTAAACTTTGGAAATTGTGTGGATTATTATGTATATATCTGAATGATTGTACCTAACCAGGCATGCACACTCAGAACATTGTAATTCAGACTGGTCAAAGGCACAACTGGCCCCTTCTCAACACACAGTGGCTTCTGATTAAAACCCTGCAACGGCTCCCACTGCTGTTGCATGGAGACCCGCATCTCTAGCCAGGAGAACCAGGCCCTGGAAGGTGTGGCCACCTGTGGTCTGGCTCCATCTTCTCCCAAAAGGTGGGCTCTGCTCCAGCCTTCGTGGCAGGCCCTCTGGACCTTTACATCCTCTGTTCCCTGTCCCTGCAGCTCTTCTTCCCCCAGCGAGGCTGAGGCTCCTCGGACTCAGCTAAAAGCTACAACCTCCCTGATCACTTCTCTAAGAAGAGGGCGTTTTCACGCCCTGGTAACACCCCGCTCCTAATTCAATTTAGCCCCACCTTCATTCCTGGGATAAGCAAATGACCCAATCAATCCACCTTGACTGGATTCACACTCCTGTGATTGAATCACGGGGAGGCAGTCCATTTGATAGGATCTCCTGAAGCCCAGTCACGCCCCCAAATGGTGCCTATTTCTATAAAAGAGCAGAAGAGCTTTCCTAAGCCAGAGCGTTCAGGTAGGGCCGCCTACCCTCAGCTGGGGCAGGGCATCCATACATCCCTGGAACACAGGGAGCCTGACCTGGGGGCCTGGGGCCTGGGGCCTGGGGCTGCAGTGCTGCCTGCAGAACCTAAGACCTCTTCAGAGACCATTTCAGCCGCCACTATCAAAGCATCAGGGTTCCAGGGACTTCGCTGGAAGGAAATATTCTAGGAAAATCAAGTGAGTATGTTGTGATAAAAAACAAATTTAGCCTCATGGGTATGCGGTGCGGGAAGGTCAATCTTTCCTGGGGTCTGGGCCTCTTGGGAGAAGGGGGTTGAGTCCCAGATGGATGTGATTCCCTGATGATTCTTCCCTGGAGACCTGGATCCTAAGAACTTTGCCCCCACACCCACCCCGGGGGCCCAGATCAGGTCAATCTGAAATGCCACCTGAGGCATGGCCTGTGTGTCTGGATCATAGAAGGGGAATTTGCAAGTCAGGATTTTATGTTTTGATAGTTATTGCCAAATCGAACCCCAAAGAGTAGTGTGTGCTCCTTTAACAACAAAACAGCATTAGCTTTTCTCCATAGCCTTTAAAATACCTATACCAGGCTTTATTTATTTATTTATTTTTTAAGATTTTATTTATTTGTCAGAGAGAGAGAGAGCGAGCACAAGCAGCGGGAGCGGCAGGCAGAGGGAGAAGCAGGCTCCCCGCCGAGCAGAGAGCCCAATGTGGGGCTCGATCCCAGGACGCTGGGATCATGACCTGAGCGAAGGCAGACACTTAACCGACTGAGCCACCCAGGCGCCCACAAGGTTTTATTCTTCTATCAAATAAGTTGTAAAAGTCAAAGTTTCGTTCTTTTCAAAATTTGGCTTTTCAAACATCTAAACGTCCGGTGAAGCTGGACATTTTTACATGATAAATGACAACTTACTCTGTGACTTGCTTGTAGCTGCCCTTTGCCTGTTTTTGTTGATGGGTTCTTTATTTTCTCACTATTGACTAGTAGGCGCTTTGTTAGATTATTGGCCCTTGTCTGCCATAAGTTGGAAATATCCCGCTCATTTTGTGTTTTGCCTTTTGATTTTGAACATGCCAATTTTAGATTTTATTTAACTAGATACTTAGTTTTTAAATTTAAATATTTTCTGGTTTTAGTGTCATGCAAAATGGCCTGCTCTCTCATATTCAGTTTTTGAGAACACTCCTGGGAATTTCTGAGCATTAATTCTATAGAGGATGCTCTGAACCTGCCTGGGGTGCCCATGTCACAGCCTACAAGTTCATGGATACAAACTGCTTTGGCTTCCTGGAACCGAACCTGTTTTCCTTCTAGAGCCCTCCTTTGGGCACTTCTGGAAAAGGGGCTCCTCCTCAGTGCTGGCTAGCCCGTCAGTTGGGCCTTTCCCAGCATATTCCAGGCTTCCTCAGGCCCCTGTCTGGGAGGTGCTCCTGCATCTCAGGCCCGGAGTGGGGGTGGCTTTGCATCAAGGCCCTGGGAGCGCGGGTCTGCTGGTCTCTATCTGGCGTTTTACTGGGCCCCTGTCCCTGCTGGCATCGAGGATGCACCAACCTCCCCTCTTGTCTCTGGCTGTCGCTCTGCCTCCTTTATATCCCTAAAGACGACCTTCTGTGGGGCTGCTGCCCTCTTTTCAGCCCTGGGACTCCCCCCCACCCCATTCTTGGTCAGGAGAGGTTGAATTTCTTCTTCAGCCACACGTTTTCTTTTAAAATTTTTATTTAATTATTTGAGAGAGAGCACAAGCAGGGAGAGGGGCAGGAGAAGCAGACTCCTTGCTGGGATCAAGGCAGACACTTCACTGACTGAGCCATCCAGGTGCCCCAGTCACACAAGCTCACCCTCTGCCCTCCCTAACAATTCCAGCTCATAACATCAGGACCACACCTGCTTCCCAGGCCCCACCAGGAAAGAGCACTGATTCTCGCTTCCCTCCAACCTGTCCTCCAGCCTGGGCGCCAGGAAGGAGGAAGGCAGCTCTCAGATCTGGTTTCCCCAGTGACTCTTCCTCCTTCCCTGGGTGGGGGAGAGAAGGAGTAACCCTGATCACACGGTGCCCACCCAGACCAAACTCAGCCTTTCTTCTGAAACTGCCCAGTGTCCCTGTCCCATGAACTGGTTCTTGGTCCACCCTCTCTCCTCATCCTCCCCAAGATGAACATGGCCTGTGACCACCTCACCTGGAACTTCTCCTCTCCTCCGATCCCCTTCACACCCTTCTCCCTGCCCCATCTCTAACCCTGTCTGCTTACCCCACAGATAGCAAGGAGCCACCTGGAGGTGCCCTGTGGAATCAGCCCAGGAGGGAAACTCCTGGCCATCTGGCTTTGGAGAGCAGTTCTCATCTAAGATGGGGGCGAGTGCATCTACGGAACCAGCCAAGCAGAGCATCCACCCCCCATCTCAGATCCCTGAGGAAGACCATGTGGCTCCAGCTGTCGCCACCCCCTAGGCACCTGTGCACCCTGTCTGTGGCTTCTGTGCCTGTCTGGGAGCCCAGCCTGCAATTGACCCAACCCTCTGGACTGTCATGGGGGCTCCCTGTGCTGTCCACTCCTGGATGAGATACCCAGCCCCTTGGAGTTACACGTGGGTGCCCTTTGGCAGTCCTTTCTGGATGGGGCATCCCCCTCCAGCTGCCCCAGTGCCTTCAGTCTGGCCATGGGGCTTCTCCAGCTTTGATCCCCAAGTAGGGAGCCAGCACCTGGCCACCATGACCTCCAGTGTATTTCCTTACCCCATGGGACCACCACCCCCATACTCCTCAGTCTCTCCAGCTCTGAACGGGGACGCCTCTGGCCACTATCCCCAGGTGGAATGGCAGATTCCCGCCAGCTCAGCCTTCCCGGCTGCAGTGGGTGGACTGTCCAGAGCAGCTCCTCACTTGGAGAGCTGCCAAGCCCCTCCATCAGAATGGGCCTCAGGTTCAGCATTTGAGCACCTTGCACCGCCCTGCAGCCCAGAGCTCTGCCCTCTGCCCCCTTCCCCCATTGCAGACCGTCAGCCTGATCCCTTCTGTCCCCGCTCCCCTCGGCCACCCTGCAGGGCCTGCCGCCGCCTCTTCTAGCTCCGAGGTGTTCTTGGGAGCCACCCACTCCAACACTTAGGGACTCATGAGGTCCAGTGAGTGCTATGGTGCTCTATGCCTGAGGGTTTGCCGTGTTTATTTTAATGTACATCTGCCCTCCTGTAACAGATAGAGGTAAAGCATGCATTCATACAAATTCCTGAATGGTGAGTATGTCCTTAAAACTGAAATAAATGTTAGTGTGCTATCGATTGTATCTTTCTTATTTTTCATACATATTTTAAGACCTAGCGTATATTTTAAGACCTAGCCTTACCTGTATATGTGTACAGCACAGTTCATTTATGTTTTCACATTTATTAGCATAAAGTTTTCAGTACTCTTACTTCCTATCATTTGTATTACCTGCTGTATCCCACTTTTCTTTCCTAATATTGCATATGTCAAAGGAAGGACAAAAAGAAAATCTTGCCATAGGTTTGTCTGTTGACACATTGATTCTCTTCTTGTGTCTTCTGAAGTGCCTCTTCACCTCTTTATTGTGAGCTTCTTGTTCATTTTGTAACTTCTTAAAGATGACAGTCAATTCATTTTTTGCTTTTATTCTTTTCTAATATGAATTTTTAATGCTATAAATTTCCCTTTAAACATACCACTTTAAGTGCACCCTGCAGTAGTGATATGTGATATGTTTATTTTTGTATCTTTTTAAACAATCACCATTAAGTTGTCTCCTCACTGTTCCAAACAAACCAGAATCCTCTCTGTGGTTTTTAAAGCCTCTCGTAGATCTCTAGAATATCCCAATCACAATTCCATTTGCTGCTGCTATTACAGTAGACTACTAATTAAAGTGAGAGCAGTGTTTATATAATAGAGTTAGCATGTTAACATGGGAGTTATTCACTTCTACTATTCATATACTAACAGCATGTGTGCTACCCTGAAAACTAGTTTCATTGAGCAGCACTTTGAACAAAACAAAAAATCTCATAAGTAGCGGTGTTTTCTTATACCGATCCTGAGAGATCATTAAAAATATGTTTTTGGAATTTGAAATAATTGATCTGGTAGAAGGTGGAATTCACTTTGAAGAACGTGCTTCTGTTCCTGGGATCTGCAGGTGCCTGGGAAATCCAGCCTATGGTAGGGGATCCCGTGCAGGCTTCCGCAGGGTGGGGAGGGGAAGGGGCCCGGGTCAGGAGAACCTGAGCAGGAGCAGCAGGGTGAGCATGGGCGGGCCTCTTCCTCAGGGGAGGATCCACGTGCTGTGAGCCTTCCTTCACCCTGTGCAGTCCTCCACCTGGGAAGCGATTTCTCCCTCAAGAATGGACAGCGTTCCCTTCTCTTTACAACTTCTCTGTAGACTTGGTGTTCTGGAGGATGCTTTCTCTAAAGAAGATGTACATATGCCTTTGACTCAGACTGAGACTTCTCTTGGACTGTGAAGATACCTTCCTCTTTTTGCACAGATTACAAAAGTCTGAACAGACCTGAGAGACTGCTGGTGACAGGTGCTCATGGGACTAGACACCCCGAGGAGGCCATGGAGGCTGGGGTTGGCCTCAGGAGGTAGAGCACTGCTTGGCTGTCACCTCCCATAGGGTCCCAAGGACCAGCCCGGACCAAGTCGGGGAGCCTCTTTGTGTGACCACAGCCCACCACAGACCCAGCTCCACCAGACACAAAAAGCACAGGGAGCCGCTAACGGTCACCTGCCAGTTGGGACTGGACCCTCAGTAGAGCTGCTTGGGAGGGAGGTCGAGGACCATATAAAATTTGCACCCCTGCCCCCTGCGGCCATGCAGTGCTCTGCTTGGGAGGTGTGCAGCCACCCCCCTGAGCCCCTGCCCTCCCTGAGGAATGCAAGGGGTTGCTGCGTCGGGAGCATTAGAACAGGGGAGGGGAGGAAACCAGGCAGGGTGCGGACATGAGCGCCAAACTCAAAGCCAAACAGACACCTAAGTGGTGGAGCTGATGCAGGCACCCCTCTCTGTCCTGTTCTACAGCCTGCTTTCCCCACCTCCCCTGGCCCCTGTCCCCCTCTGAGCTCACAGAACTCGACTCATTATAAAGCCTGGGTGTTCCTATGCCAACCTTACAGTTTTCCCACATTCCTATACTTTGTACTCTATTTCACACTAGCTTTTGTTACTTCAGTGACTGTATTTTCAAGGGATGCATTACATATTACATAGAATCACTTCAGAAAATGAGAATTCAGGGTCACTCGCCATACATACAATACGCACCTAGATACAATGAAAACAACGTGATGACACTGTGGTCAGATGTCCGCAGCTATGAGTCTATCTCCAGCGTGGTCTTGCTTTGATAATGAGATCGGCAGGTGTAGGAGTTGGGGCCAACTGCCCCCCTCCCCAGCTCTCTCCAGTGTCACACGTGAGTCCCTGGTCCCCGACTATTCTTTGACACATGGCACCGGAGACATCTGGCCTTGGCCACCTCCGCCTCTGCCGGCCCCAAGCTCCCCATGAGCTGTTTCAGTTCTGCCCAGTGTGTAGGGCAGGGGTTGAATGGAAGTCTCTGCTGCATTCCCAGAAGGAGGGACCCAGGCCTATAAAAAGAGCCACAAGCTTCTCACCCTATTTCCCTTCCTCTTAGGTTTCTGACTTGGTTTCCCCGGCCCTGCTCCATCACGCTGCTGGCCCTTGAAAACAAGATGCCCTCCCTTGTTGGCAGCTACTTCATCTTGGATGTGCTGGTCCACCAGTCCTGGGGAAGGTTGTTTCTGCCACTCTCACTGCCAGGCTGGGCTGACGCACCTCCCTGATGACGCTCACATCTCCCAACGGCCGAGTGAGGACGACTCATGGGGGCAGGGCTAGGGTGGGCAAACCTCACGCTGGGCTTACGTGCCTGTGCTTAAGCTGTGCTCTACACCAAAGAACTAAGGTTCCCCGACAGAGTCAGCTGCTGCGAGGCACCGGAGACCTTAGAGGGAGGGAAGAAGGGACAAAGCCAGGACTGTTCCCACTCAGTCGGCCTCCTGGGCTCTAGCTCTCCTGGGCAGCCCCTTCTAAGGCCATTCTGATGCCCTGAGTTCTGGGTTCTGGTAGCATCCTCTCTCCCCTCGTCATTCAGCTGAGAGTGGGGGTTTCTTGCTGTTGCCTTGCTGTCCCGCCAGGCTTCTCAGCTCTTCCATCACCTGTGAAACCAATTCTCTGAAACACATTCCCTTGGTTTATAAGATCTCCAGGGGCTTATCCCCTGGCAGACTGGCTGTGCCACATGGAAATGCCAAGGAGGAAGAAGGAAGGTGAGGACCTGCACCCTTGACAGGACCTTGACTGGGGGAGACAGGGCAGCCCTGCTGTGGTACCGGACTCTGGGTCTGGGGAGTCCCAGAACCTTCCCGCTCTCCCGCTGCTACTGGCTAGTTAACACTTAGTGCACGTGGGGTGTCAGGGTGGGAAAAGGTGGTGCAAGGAAGGGAGCAGTCAGGGCAACTGGGCTCAGCTGCACAACCAGCCTCTTGAGGGTGTGGCCACTGTCCAGCCAGAGGCCACCAGGGACACAGCTGCCACTGACAGGTGGGCTTCTTACTCCTTTCCAGTGGCAGAGACCACGGGGTGTCTTATGGAGGAGGTCAGAGAGAAACCATGACTGGATTTGGGCTTTGGCTGGGTGGCTTGGGGGATGTCTAAGGAAGCAGGGGTCTCTCTGCATGGTCATTGCCAGAATGCGGAGACAATTCCATGATGGGGTTCTGGATAAATTGTATCTACGTGGAGGAGAAACCAGCACGGAGACAGAAACTCACGTTAGCTGAGAGAAGGGGGCGTGGGTGTTTTGTCTGGGCGGAGGCACGACTGTGGGGTGGCCTGGCCGTCTCACTCCAAGGGTGGTCTCAGAGGGACCTCACCTGAGGTTGGTGTTCTGTGAGGCTTCTGTCCCGTAGAGAACAGCACTGCCCAGCTGGCCACACCAGACCAGCTTCCGGATGGCAGGGCTGCCCCTTTTCCTTTCTCAAGAGGGATGGTATAAGACATTTCTGAGTACGGCCTTCCCCAGCTCAAGCCCCGGGAAGGCCCTGCGCGGCCAGCTGGACCCAGCTCAGGCGCCCCTTTGCCAGGCTCACAGACCGATGGCAACAAAGCCAGCCCCTGTGCCAGCTAACTGAAGGCTTGCTGCAGCCCTGGTAGAGTGGTTGGTACTATTATCCCCATTTTCCAGATGAACAAACTGAGGCACGAGGAGGTTAAGGCCTGAGCTGAGGCCATGCCCTAGAGAGCGGCAGAGCTGGGCCTCCGTGACAGGCTGGCTGGCTCCAGATTCCGTGCTCCTGACTGTCACACGCCCCAACCCCCGCGCCCCAGACTCTCCTGTCCCTGTGAGACCCACCGTCCTCTTTAGTTCTGTGCTTCTGTGTATTGTGTTCACTGCCTTGAATGCCTTAGCTTGTCCTGTCAAGGGACACAGCTGCCACTGACAGGTGGGCTTCTTACTCCTAGAGCCACAAGCTTCACTGTCACAACACATCACAGCGACAACAGTGGTGATGGTGGCATCACCTGAGAATCTCCTGTGTGCCCGGTGCTGAGTCGGCACAAGTCAGCCCTTGCAGGCTGCACCACAGCCCAGTGAGGTGGGGGTTCCCTCACCATTTCACAGATGGGACACTGAATCACAAGGTGGCGACACGCTTGAGGTCCCCTCAGCCCAGCAGCCTGCAGTCCGCTCCCTCTGCAGGACAGACTCCGTTGTCACCGCAGGGAGGCCCTCACTCCCGGTCCCTCACCCAAGTGCAGTCCTCTTGCCCCCGCCCCCACGATTCCTACCTGGGAATCCTGCTACTGTTCCTGGGTCCACCTTCCCTGCTGCTCTGGCAGTTTCTGGGGGAGGCAAGGGCCCCATGCGGGGTGTGAGCAGAGTGTAGATGACAGGTCGTCAGGGGTGGGCTTAAGGGAGTCGGAAAAGGGCCTGCCTGGCGCACGCACGAGGCCACAGACGCGGGCTGGGGGGAGAGCAGGGAGCAAGTGCGGGGCCGAGGGCTGTAACTTCACAGACTCTGGTGG